CTCAATTTTCCCACCCCCATGGAACGTCAAATTGACTTGGACTGTCCACAGGGATAAGATGATATCAACATCACCAACCCCTTTGCAACTTCAAAGTGGCTCGGACTGTCCACAAGGATGATGATATCAAAATTCCCACCCCATGGATCTTCAAATTGACTTGGACTGTCCAACACCACTTGAGGGAAGTGAACATGAGTTTCTTGGTAAAAAGGATGCAAATCTGATGAGTTTCTTACATGTGGCACTCAACCCTGCAGTCATTTTGCTGGTGCTGGCTTGGAAGTTATAACCATATAACATAGGGGAAAGGACTGCACATGAATATTCAGATTCAAAAGCAGCATGTTGATGCATGTTGAACTGTTGAACAGTTGTAATCCAATCCCCTTTCATCACGAGTTTCGCATTTCCAACGTTTTAGTAACCAACTCCCGGTTTCCAACTCCCTATGGATAGTTTCCGTTTCGAATCCGCGTGTCTGTTAGTTTGCGAAGCTTAGTTTCCGAATCCGTGTTTCTTAGTTTCTGAATCCGCGTGATTTAGTTTCCGAATCTTAGTGTCTGAATCCGCGTGTTTTAGTTTCCGAATCCGAATCCGCGTTTATTTCTTAGTTTCCGAATCTTAGTTTCCGAATCCGCGCTTTTAGTTTCCGAATCATACAGTTTCCGAAGCCTCGTCCTCCTTCGTTTCCGAATCCTCTTTTTCTATGTTCCGAATCCTCGTTTCCGAATCCGTGTCTGGTAGTTTCCGAATCTTACTTTCCGAATCTGCGGTTTTAGTTTCCGAATCTTAGTTTCCGAATCCGCGTGCATGTTAATTTCCGAGTCCATGGTTTTAGTTTCCGAATCCGTGATTGACCACGTTACTAACTTCTCTAACCACTTGCATGATGGGGTGGGCAAGTAGCGTCTTTCCTACTAACAACTTCCAACTACGTTGCTAACCTTTCTAGCCACTTGCATGAGGTGGGGTGGGGCGGGGTGGGCTATTAACGTTTTTTCTACTAGCAACTGCCAAGTGCATTACTAACTTTTCAAATTGCAACTATGTTGTCGGCTCTTGTAACACAACTTGCAACTACGCTGTTATCTTCTCGATCAAGTTCCAACTACGCTGTCGACGCTTCTGACACAACTTGCAACTAGTTGTTATCTTCTCTTTCAAAATCCAACTACTTCGCCGACTCTTTAAAGACAACTTGCAACTACGTTGTCGGCTCTTGTGACGGAACTTGCAACTACGTTGTTTTCCTCCCGATCAAGTTCCAAGTACGTTGTTGACTTTTGTAACACAACTTGCAACTACGTTGTTATCTTCTTTCTTGTCCTACTGGTACTATTGATGCAGCATGGCCTGCATTAAAGAATTACATTCCCAACAGTTTGTCCTCCCAAAGCCGCGATTTACTGTTGCACGCAAAATCTTGGCAATGGAGGTACATAAACCGCAGTGCCATTTTGCAGCAGCAGACGATTGAAGCATTAAAACGCATCTTCTGACGAAACAGTGCTGTTTTTCAGATTCCACAAAAACCATCCGATGAAAATGAGCTTTTACTGTGGTAAAACGCGAAAACGCCCAAATTTCAGTATCCATTTTTTGGGATGTTTTTCATGAAAGAAATGTGTGTTTCGCCACATACTCATTTTTTGAGAAACACGTGCTTTTACGAACATGGTTTCCGGTCCGGTGGGAAATTTATGCTTCTGACCCGTCAAACAGCAAACCCACTAAAAGAACAACAATTTGGACTTTAACCCTTAGACCAAAGAAAGTCAGTTAAAACTTGTGTGAATTTCTCTGTATTTCCTATGTAATTGCTATGTGCTTCCGATGCGGTGTATAAGCACTTTAGCTGCAATTTTTCAGATTTCATGTGATTGTGCTAATATTACATGAAACTCTATCAAAATTACATGAAGGTACATGACGTTTTTAAAAAATGCAAATACTGTGCATTTGAAACACATCAAAGGTGCACAATAATTACGTGCGACACTTCACAATTTCTTCGTCACATTCATTGTGAAATCCACAGTGTCTTCATTGATGAAGTCTGGTATGCGCAAGAAAATACACGAGACCTGACACACAAGCACAAAGACATGCACAAGGTCGGCGCAATTGCAGTCTTTAACATCATCTCCGACAGAGTTCACTAGAGATAATCTCATGTAAAGTTTATTGAAGACAGTCTCAAGTAAAGTTCGTTGAATTGCGTCCCAAGTCCCCTTAAGGCAATCTTAAATAAAATTGAACTGGGGTGTGTCTCAAGTAAGTCCATTGAAGACCATCAAAAGTAAAGCCCACGGAAAGCAATCTCGCGTAAAGGTTATTGAATATCAGCTGAGGTAAAAATCATTGCATATCATGTCAAGTAAATTCCATTTGAATTGAATATCAAGTAAAGTACAGTCCATGGAAAAGAATGTGAAGTGAAGCCCATGGAACTGGAGTTCGGATAAAAATCATTGGACATATCCAGACGTAAAGTTCAGTGAAATGGATCAAGTAAAGTCGACTGAAAACATTCTCAAGGGAAGTGCTTTTGCAATTATATAGATCAGCCGACAAGTATATAAAGCACATGTAATTGTCATGAAACATCTTCTCAAGTAAGGTCATGCGAAGCACTTGGCAGCAACAAGCCCGTTTATCCATCCTTTGTGACTTTAGCTATGTTTGCTGATATAATATATAACCCAAATTCTTGTGGACAACATTTTTTCAAATGAGTTCACACATGTAACATCTTGAAGGCAGAAGTTGTTGCCTTTTTAAAAGGCATGTTTCGGGACGGGAAGAGTTCCACTTGTTTGTGCGCGGTGCTCTTTTCCAGAAAGAACAAAACTGTTTTGAACCAGGGCTCTTGATATTTCACCCAAACTTTCGCGGATCTTTCTTGGAAAAACGATTCCATCTCAATATTCCCATTTATTTGCATGTTTTAACCAAAAATGCCACTAGTGAATTGCCAAGTTTACTGTTTTTTGCCTCTAAACTGTTTAACCTTGCAGACTGACGCTATAGATTCTGTATTGTGCCCACGTTTTGCTTTCACAACGTCTCCCCCTGAATCTTACACGGGAATCCCACACACAGTTGATATGTGATTGGTTTTCCTTCATTGGCTTTCCTTCAGATGGCCTTCTAAAAATAGAATAGCTGCTATGACCATCGGTCAATTGACATTTCATGACATGGACATGGATGCTACAAGGTAAATCTCCCCACTTACAAGTTGGTTTTTACATATTATTCAGTATAGTTAAATAGATCTTCCACAACTATATGTCACACACTTCATTGATTGCAATCAGTGTGCCACGCTTATCTTCGCATCGTGCTTACGCCACACAAGTAAACCATGCGAGCACGTTAGTGCAACCATAAGTTGCCTGTATGAAATTGATCTACAAGTCTTTCTTTAGTAGAAGTTTACATGCCGGACTCAGCCAGAGTCAGCAGGAGTCAGCCGGAGTCAGCCGGAGTCAGCCGGAGTCGGATGGTCAGCCGGAGTCAGCCGGTCAGCCGGAGTCAGCCGGAGTCAGCCGGTCAGCCGGAGTCAGCCGGAGTCAGCCGATCAGCCGGAGTCAGCCGGTCAGCCGGTCAGCCGGAGTCAGCCGGAGTCAGCCGCAGTCAGCCGGTCAGCCGGAGTCAGCCGGTCAGCCGGAGTCAGCCGGAGTCAGCCGGAGTCAGCCGGAGCCAGCCGCAGTCAGCCGGAGTCAGCCGGAGTCAGCCGGAGTCAGCCGGAGTCAGCCGGAGTCAGCCGGAGGCAGCCGGAGTCGGCCGGAGTCAGCCGGTCAGCCAGCGTCAGCCGTAGTCAGCCGTAGTCAGCCGCTACGTTTTTCAACCCTCCCTCCCGGCACCCTGGAAAATCTCGCAAACAATGTCCAAAATGCTGCGACGCGGAATTGGTTCAAGGGAAGGTTTTCGAGAAATCTCTAAAAGGATATAGGTATGATAGGTTCTGTTGCCATTGATCCAGCCGGGGTTTGGTTGCCAAGAAAGTTGTGTATCACTGTATCACGTTTTTTTTCCCTCCTTATTACCGTTCAATTTATTAAAAAAACCGAGAGAGAGAGAGAGAGATCAGTTTCCTCGGAAACTACGGGGTTTCCATACGATGTTGGTGCCACTTGCAGATCCGCCACTATCCGCCACTCAGGTGCAGAGTGTGCCCCCCTGCCCCGCGGAAGGCAGAAGCTGCGGTGTGCCCCCATCTCGCTACTTCTGCACTGTAGCAGCTGGATCCGCCACTGTCAGGCTGCAGCCCACCCATCGACACCAAGCATGGGAACTCAGAGTCTGAGGATTAGGTGACTCTTTTGGATTGTTTTGGCTTCATCAAATTCACCCCTAGGGCCCTAGTTTTTTTTCCTGCCAGAGCGGTGTGGATGTTGGGGTGGGCCTGTTTTTTGGTAAAACCAACCGCTGTGCCCAGTGGCTTCACCAAAAAAGAATCCTTCGGCAGCTGACCATCTGACGATATCTGATGCGGCTGATGCGGGTCCATAATAGGGGCATAGGGGCATAGGAAGAATCCATTCCACAACAGTTCAGGATGTTTAGGTCGTTCATCATTGGTTAAATATGGTGAATCTAGGTACAGTTTCGCTGTACATCGGAGCTCGGACCTTGGTATTGGGTTCACCTTCGGAGGGCGTGCTCCAGCCTTGAAGCTGTGCAACGCGTAGGAAGAGAGCACAACAGATCACAAGAACATAGACCAAGCTACCCCTTAAAGAAGGGCAGAGGTGTTGGTCCGGAAGATTCATCTTGATTACAGATAGATCAGATAGTTTTTTTTTTTGGAAGCTGGAACTTAGGCCCCTATTGCATGGCCGAAAACCATCCAGAAATATCCAGAAAAATATACAGCAACAGTCATTTGGGTTCCTGGTGCAGTATTACCTGATGTAAAACCGGTTTTTCATTTTTCCTACCTCAAGAAGGTGTCCTCAACAGCTCACTTTGCCGGGCTTTTACAGCACGCCATGCCTTTCGCCATGTTCCAATGTGCCAAGTCCATCGTGCAGAGTTTCACAGGAATCGCCAGCGAAGATTTTAATGACTTTGTTTCCCAGCACCTGGAGGACGCAAAACTGTAGATTCGATGTTGGAAGGTCGCATCCTCTGTCGAAACATGTTGTTGATCGGGCAACAGTTCTTTGGCGCCAACGCAATCAACAGATTCAAACTTTATTAATCCAAAGAAAATTTGCCATTCACATTTAACAAAAAATAAATCAACTAGTAACTAATTCATTTTTTTCATGTCTTTCTTTCTCCCCCTTTTGGTGCCCGTGGTGCCCTTTTTGGTCCCAGGACGGCAGCAGCAGCAGCATGGGTTCTGCGGTGAGTTTCTTCGAGGGAAGCTTCGCCCAGGCCCTGGCGGCTGCAGCGGATGGAGGGCAACGGACGGAGGGCAGGCAGCTGTTGCTGCTGTGGCTACACCAGAAGGTGGGGATGGGGTGGGTTGGGTAAGTTGGGTGGGAAAATGTTGGGATTGAATTTTGGCAGAAGAAAAACAGGGTGATTTAGTGATTTCAGATCCCCTATATAGTTGGGATAGATTATAAACCTCTGAATTATGGTTTCTTATGGCCATCGACTCTGCCATTGTCTAAATCGATGGAAGAGAGAAGAGAGACTCTGCCACAGACCCGCTTATTATTGACCGGAATTGCAGCCCCAAATGGTATGGATTGGTGATGATTGGGGGATTTTGAGAGCGTTAAATCTTTGATGCATCTTGGAGTTTGAATGCTGCGTTTGCCAACCAATCCAAGGTCACCACCTACCAAAGCACAACCTCACAGATTTCCATACAACATGCAATGCTATTTATAGCCAGTGAGCCATTGGATCTTAAGATATCTATGTGGATCTATGTGGCTTGTGGTTTTGAACATGTGTTTCAGTTTTCTACTTGGGATGATACAATGATACACGTCAATGACTTTCACTTTGTTGGGTTGGAAGAAAGCGCCAACCAGCCATCCATTTGTGAAGGCGTTGCCGAGGCATCGCAAGACAAGCACATTGTTTCCAATCGGTCGCATGTTTAGATACATACATAATCATACATACTTGCTCTGCCTTTCTCCATTTATAGATCAACAAAGATCATCATATGGTAGAAGCAAACCACCAAGGAGGTTAGCAAGTCTACAGTCAACATATGTCAATACATGATACACCTGGTAATATCATTACTATATTGGGGTTCTTGCAAAAATGATCCTTCGAACAAGTCTTGCCAAATGACCCCTGGTAGATACTTAGAATATACTTAGACCACCCATGATATCACCATTAAACCGTTAAACCCCATGAAATCTCATGAAATCTCCATTAGCGGTTGGTTAAACCATGTTAAACCTCCATTAAACACTTGGTAGAACTAAACCCCCAAGCCGGTAGATAAGGCATAATAAGTCTATACTCAACATATGTCACTATTTGTCAATACTTGTCAATACATGATACGCCTGGTAGATCCTGGTAGATATTTAGATTCATATTACCTGGTCATACCTGGTCCAAATAGGATTCATACAATCTCATATTATTAAAAATCTGGGTTGATATTGTTTAGATTCAGATATACCAGGATTTAGTAATATACCAGGATATTATTGTTAAATATCTGATTCACATTCAATATCATGATACAATCTGATTATTAAATATCTGGATATATCTGGGTTGATATTGTTTATATCTGATTCACCAGGATGATGAAGACGCCCAATACCTTTGTCGAAGCCTCTGGGCCGATCCCTCCATCGCCGCGGAGCTGGCGTGTCGCGTCCTGCCCTGGGCGGGCGACGTGTGCCGCTACGAAGCCGGGGCGGTCTGCCGCGCCGTGACCGCCGGGGGACGGTGGAAGCGTTGGGAAGCGAACTGGGAAGGTGGCAACCTCCAAGGCTTCTAAGGCTCTAAGGCCAGGAAAAGATAGGAAAAGATATAAATAATGATATATATATATATATATATTACATATATACATAGACTTTTCAGCCATCTTCAAACAGCAACTGTTGATAACTGTTGCACATGGATGGGCCAGCTATCATCATCCGTCCACGTTCATGGCAAGTGGTTCATCAACCAGCTCTCTCAGCAATACCCCGTTGGAAACCACCATACAAACCTAGTGTGGAGCCCGCGAACAATGGGCTGGGACGACGATGTCTTTCCCTTTCTTTCTCAATAAGGATGGAGAAGGATGGTTCAACACCTGTAATACCAGTCATTTACCAGTCATTTACCAGTCATTTACCAGGAAGATCCATTTCCCAGACATTTCCCAGTCGCATTTTGATGTTTCCAGGAGAGCTGAGTGCCCTGGCCTGGTGCTCATCAAGGTTTGCCAGGAAGGAGCTCCAGGCGCCCATGGGAAATGACCCATTTGTAGAGGATAAACTTATGATATATATGACGAGTAGATAGATAGATAGATAGATAGACAGATAGATAGATGGATGGATGGATAGATAGATGGATGGATGGATGGATAGATAGATGGATGGATGGATAGATAGATAGATGGATGGATGGATGGATAGATAGATAGATGGATGGATGGATAGATAGATGGATGGATAGATAGATAGATAGATGGATGGATGGATAGATAGATAGATGGATGATGGATAGATAGATAGATGATAGATAGATGGATAGATTGGATAGATGGATAGATATTGCAGATGGATAGATGGATAGATAGATAGATATAGATGGATAGATGGATAGATATAGATAGATAGATAGATAGATATAGTGATAGATATTAGATGGACGATAGATAGATAGATAGATAGATAGATAGATAGATGATATCGATAGATCGATAGATCGATGTAGATGGATAGATGGATAGATGGATAGATGGATAGATGGATAGATGGATATATATATATAGATAGATAGATATAGATGATATAAACTGATGTAGATATGGATGTTGATATGGATATATATATACACACCGTATGTATATATATATATAATTGTCCATATCCGTGTGTGTATATGTAATTACTGGAGGGCAAGAGCTGGGGGAACATGAATGCTTATGATATTCAGCAAGAAATGATGGCTCATGATGGCTCCCAAGGTACCGACAATTATATATCTATGAGAAGGGTTGATAGGGTACTTGTACTTCATATCCTTACCGTGGCATACTGTGGCCAGCGGGTGTCACCTGTCGCTGATTTTTGTGTCCTGGCTAGCCGCAACCTTTGCACACAGTATTTTCTGTGAAACACTGGAACCTAATTACTGTAATATACCATCCGGTTATTTAACATAGCCATGGAACATCACCATTTTTAATAGGTAAACCATCTATAAATGGGCCATCTATACCATGGCTATGTTAGTCATAACCAGAGGGTAAAATTATTGCAAGTATTGCGAAGCTGTCCTACCAAATCATGAGGTCTCATTGGTTGGATACACTGTTTGACTTGATTGACTTTCCTGCCGATTGACTTGTGGATTTATCAATGCGAATTTCAGGATCCTAAAATGGAGGTACCTACCATATATAAGGCCTATGTAAGGCCTATGTAAGGGAATATCCCCAGAAAATATGGCCTTATATGGTACAGTACCTCCAATTTAGGTTCCTGAAATGGCCATTGAATTTATGGCAATTTCTGAGTGTGAAATTTATATGACGCCAATAGGGTGCGGCATGATGGAGCCACTGCCGGAGCCGGAGGTGCTATCGAGTGGCCCCGGGGCTCCTTTTTTCAGGTGCTCTACACTTTGCGGCTCGCAGCAGGAGAAATGGAAAACCTATCAGATGTTAAATTGTGGCTGCTTGTAGTTGCAAATCCGAGTCAGTGTTTTAATGTTTGTGGTTTGAAATATGTTGAAACCATCATTTGCTTGTTCACCCCAGCTGCATTTTTTCTGCATACAGGATCATTATGGGGACCGTGTCGCTGTCAGACCCCCGCGGCCCCGAAGTTGTTGGAAGGTCACTGGGTTGCCCATACCACCAACCTTAGGATGTCCACCTTAACAATTTACAGGGCCCCATATCCAACTGAACTCCAAGAGTTCAACGTGTCCCAGCCGCCCCAGCCGTCCCAGACATTTGCTTCGCCCAGGCCTGCGCGTGTGTCTCCAAGGGAGCTGCTGCGTGTCCTGAAATCCGTGGCGGATCAGCAAGACCTTCAGCAGCAGTTGCAGAGGCGAGGTCAATGGCCAGGTTGGAACCACACCTAGATGTAAAATGATGTAAATAAATATATATATATATATACATAATTGAATAAACATATCTACATTTATAAATATACATATAAATTAATAAATATGAGCATATGTCTAAAATATATTAATATAATAAATAAATTATATATAAAGTAAATAAATAAATAAAAAAATAAATAAAAAAATAACTAAACACACACACACATATATATATATATATAATTATAGTCCCCATTCGAACCGGCAATTGTGTGGGCGGATGTGGGCGGCATATACCCCATTTTCAAACTCCCACGTTGTGTCACGAGACAAAAGCCAGCGGTTTTGGAAAATGGATGGCTCCTGTGGCATTTGGAATCCTCTGGAATTCTCCACTAAAACTGGGATGGTAATCATCAACTGGTTGGTGGTTTGGAACATTTTTTTCCCATATATTGGGAATAATCATCCCAACTGACTTTCATATTTTTTAGAGGGGTAGGTATACCACCAACCAGTCAACCATGTATGGGAATCCTGACCTTCATCAGATCCAAATTGGACTTACCGATGTTGATCATCAGGTCATCCAACTGAGCCAGGCAGTGGCAACAACAACTGCTTCACCTCGAGCAGTTTGGGCAAAATGTCGAGCCTTGAAAGCAAGTTAACATACAAGAATTTGGCTTTGAAATAACATGATGTCAACCATTATGCTTGTCGCTCCTGCCGCAAATATGTCGTTAAACGGCTGAAAAAGGCGTAGATACTTGCATGTCTATTATAGATACATAGATGATGATAGATAGAGATAGATAAGATAAGATGAGATGAGATGAGATAGACAGACAGACAGACAGACAGACAGACAGATATATAGATAGATTGACAGACTGATAGATCAATCGATAGATAGATGTACCCTCTGGTAATTTAACATAGCTATTCAAAATGGCCATTTATAGTGAGTTTTCCCATTAAACATGGTCATTTTCCATAGCTATGTTAGTTTACCAGAGGGTACCGCAAATGGGGTTCCAATTCGACTTTCAACGGATTGATCCACAAGTTTTGCAAGTGGGCCCGAGGCCAAAGCCCTTGAGGAGGCGCAGGCGACCTCTCAGCGGCTGGAGGCCACTTGGAGCTGTCGGATGATGTCGGATTGGTTTCTGGGTTGGATGGGTATAACTCTGGTATAACTATGGTAACAAGTGCCGTAAGTTTGGATATAACTATGACATAACCCCCTATAACTGCACCTTGAAGATCCGTGAAGTAGAGGCAGCTGCATGTTGAAGCCAGGAGCTACGAAAGTGTGAAGAGGAAGAGCGGCCATGTTGGGGCGCCCTCTTCGAGTCACGCGTCTCGCCTGGGTCTTTTACTGGGAAGACGGCAGCCTGGGTGTGATTGGCTAGAGAGGTCCTGCAACTGAAAAGTGTTGGGTGCGTTCTTGGGAGGTGCTTCCTTGTATCTCTTGGGAAGTTGAAGGAAGCACCGTCACAACAGTCTTATTATCAGTCTGTTCCGAATTTTCCCTTACTGAAGGAGACCCTTTTCTTGATTTGTTTGGATTTCGGCAATAAGTTGGCAAACCTTCATGCACACTCACGAGTTGTGAGAGCTTAAATGGGCACTATTTTGGACCATGGCCTATATCAACCCCACTCCCAGGCTTAAGGCATATCTCTACGTGCAATCCCATAGTTTGACAATGAAGACATGTAAAACCCCTATGGTTTCTGTTTTTTTCCCTGGGATTCGTCACCATTTTCCAGACTATTACATATCATTATCCTGCGGTAATCAAACATGGTTCGATTGTTGTCCCAGCTATAAACCCCCCATGTATGATGGGATTTTCCAGCCAGCCCCGTTTGATTACCAGAGGGTACTGCATATTACCCTCTGGTAAACTAACATAACTATGGAAAATCATAATTTTTTATTGGTAAATCCACTATAAATGGCCATTTTCAATAGCTACAAACATCTATAAGCCATCCCCAAATGACATCAGATTTGCAGGCTACGAGGTGACGCCGCATGCTTTCCACCCTGGTGGCTTTGCAGAAGCTCACCATGCAGCAATGGATGCGAAGAAACTGCTGCTGTTGTGGTCCCTTGGTGCGCTGGGTGGAGAAATATATGGATAAATACTGTATGGGTCAAATATTCAATAAACATCCATCTTTAAGGGCGCCAAATTTTGATCCATCAAAATCATGCACATCTCGAACATGAAATCAAACGACCAACTGACTGTCACTCCATAGCCAACACCAAATATCTCCAGATTTCAAGTAACATCCCAACTTCCCAAGATATCAAAAAGGGTGATTGTCCACACGCCCGCCGGGACGCACATCCAGATGTTGATGGCGTGGTTTTCAGATGTTCAGATGGTACCCTCCAGTACTCAAACGTGGGAAAGCGCCCCGACCGAAATGGAGGTTTCCATCACATAGGGGGTACCCCCATGGTACCCCCAGTTATCCATAAATGAATGGTTTTTTTCATATGTTTTTTCCACCAAAAAAACCATCCATTTTGATCCATTAGTTATCCATGTGAATGGTTTTTTTTCCACTATAAACATCTATAAACCATCCATTTTGATCCATTAGTTATCCATTTGAATGGTTTTTTGATCCATTTTTCCACTATAAACCATCCATTTTGATCCATTTTAAGGGGATCCCACATTTTTGGAAACCCCCCAGCCCTGGCGCTTTCTGCGCACATCATCCGCGGTGAGGCTGGACTCGTCCTCCTCCACGTTCGATCCGCGCATCATGGCCGAGGAGGCACGGTACGGTTTCGCCACGGGGAGGAGGTTGATGATTATCATTGGGCTCCCTTTAGGCCCTGTATACATATGTAATATATATGTATATACATAGTCACAAAGAATAAACATATAGATATAATTTTATAATATATTATTATAATATAGTATGCACATCTATACGCACGTGTGTGAATATACTGACAGACTGATAGTATACCATAGTAATAGCATTCCAGTGGCGTCACGCTCAGCCACCCCGGAGGTCTTTGAGGCTTTTGTGAAGGACCGGGGTGATTCACCACGTTTGCTGGATATGCCCCCATAGGGTGAAATGGAACCTGCATGGTGTCCTAACGTTTGAATTTGCAAAGAATAAAATAATAAACCAATAAAGAATTAAATAAATACATGAATATAAATATATATGAAAATAAACATTAAATAGATGAAAAATACATAAATAAATGAATATAAATAAATAAATAAATATATACATTGTTATTGTTCGGGTACATGCTGAAACTGCAATGTTTATTTGTAGTTGCTGAGGGAATTCCTCGACCGAAGTTCCTGTTAGGGTCTTGAATCTTGTATGGGATCGAATGGTATGGCAGCCTTGAAACTGCAACTTGGACGCTTGCAACAAATAGAGTGCCTTTCATATGTTCCAGACCCCAGGATGCTTTAAGGGTATTCGTAAAAGGTTGGCATTTGACAAGACATCAATTGCACCATGTTACACTGTTACACCAACGTTAACATAAAACTGGGATAAACTGGCTGTGTCCCATGAAATGGGGATACTCTTTACCCTCTGGTAATTTAACATAGCTATTGAAAATGACCATTATTAGTGGATTTACCCAGCTATAAAATGGTGATTTTCCATAGTTATGGAGCAGTTTACCAGAGGGTAGTGATTGGCTAAAAAGCTCCCAAACTTCCGCAATGGTCGATCCTAGGAGTACTTTGTGTTTTGGCCTGGCGATGCTGAAAAGTGGCTTCTGCCGGTGCAGTTGAAGGAACACCTCTGCATCTGAGAAAAGGGTGGGGGAATCGACGTCAAAACATGAACGCATTTTTTGATGGTAGGTAAATCATCATATGAACATCTTGCAGCCTCTAGCTGAAGAAAGTTAAACTATATTAACTATATAGTTATTTTTATTTCTTTTTAAAGCATCGTTTACCTTTTTCTTAAATAAAACTATCGTATTTTTAATTGACAAAATTGATTTTCATTTAGATTTCCATTGGGAATTTCATGTGGCTTCATGGCATGTACCTTGTTCATTAGCAATGCGCGCTTTGCTCCTCATCCAAAATGTCTTGGAAAAATGATGCGGTACTTTTTGCGAAAGAAACAATTTGAATGGAATTGTAAACACAAAGAGCAAACAAACACAAAATAGAATAACGCAACACTAGGACACAATGAACAGGAAACACAAATCCAAATGCCAAATGAAAAATGAACATGTTTGACAGCATGAACATATAAATGAAAAAATGAAAACCAAAAGACAGTTGACAAGAAAATGAACACGGCTGACGAGATGAACATGCAAACGCAAAAAAAATGAAAACCAAAATCCAAATGAAACATAAAATGAAAAGAACAGTGCCAAAAAATGAAAACCGAAATCCAAATGAAAATGAACATGAAAAAAGCCGGCAAGAGACCCCAAACCGTGTGTAGTTAGGATTCTAAAGGAAAAGGTGGAAAGGACCCCAAATCATCAGTGGCTGCAAGCTAGCAGGACAAGAGTGTCCCTAGTAGTGAAAGCATGGTGTTCATTCAAGGTGGTCTCTGGAAGAAGAGATACCAGGTTAGATTCTGCGAGTTCCCTTTGTGAAGATCTCTGCAGAAATCGTGCGAAAGATCTCACTGACAGGTTCTCTGTAGAAGCTGTTGTGCAAGATCCCTGTGCAGGGCTATCTGTACAAAGTGTTATATGATATCTCCACAGAAGATCTCTGTAAGGGATCTCAAAGTAAGATCTCTGCTCAAGTTGGCAGCTGCTCTCATCAACAAGTTGTTCACACTGCTAAGTGACACGCCATTTGTGTCCCTTCCCCGGAGGCTTCACAAAGTCCTCTTGGGATGGCATGCCACAGAAGCTCTGAACTTGAACATAGAAGGTGTACCCTCTGGAAAACTAACATAGCTATTGAAAATGGCCATTTATAGTGGATTTTCCCATTAAAAATGTTGATTTTCCATAGCTATGTTAAATTACCAGAGGGTACAGTGTACAGCTCCAGCCGCTATGATGTGGCCAGCTTCTGCCGCAGATCTCTACAGGATGCTTACGGAGACCCGAGTTATTTTAGCAGATTTTTACTTGGGAGATCTTGGGATCCCCTTTGGTCACCAAAATTTAAGGACAATAGCTATCCATCGCTATCCATCGCTATCCATGCATTTTTTGAAAAAAAAACATACGCACATTTAAGGTTCGTGCAGTAGATGTCGATTCGAGCGGTTCTTGATCAACAGAGCCTTTTTCCTCCCAGTGGTTCCACAGCGCATATTTTTCGCATGAAACTACGCCCCTCTCTATAGAGCTAGCACATGTCGAGCTGCATGGAAGTCAAAACTGCAAATCGATCAGAATTATTTTCCCGGAACTTTTGTTTTGAGGGGTTTGTATTTTTACAAATGCACATTTGGAGAATCGAGCGCCATTCCCACAGAACGCACGCAAATTTATGCAAACGAAAACAATTTTTCCAAAAACAGATTGCACTTCACAGCTCGCATTTTCTTCGGAAATGAACATGTTTTGAAGACATCAAGCTTCGAACCCGATACGTTGCAAAGTTCTCGCTGGTGAGGGCCCTAACTCCCATGTGTTGCTGCGGGTCCTCCAGTATCGATATAGATGACCTTCTCATGTTCTACGAGCAGTTGTTTTTAACATTTTTTAACACTACTCATACTAATCAGCACTAAAGTTTCCTTGAAGAATCTATTTTTTGCGGCGGACTTCACATGTCCGTTGATGAATCCAGATTTTTACTGCATTTTTCAGCACATGTTATGTTTGGTGTGTTTGTTTGCTACATGTGTCACTTTGTTTGGGAAAGAATTCTCAAATATACAGCTGTGACTGGGATGGTTTAGTGCATTGGTTTCGCCACATTAATCCCTTCCCCCTAATATCAAACAACCCCCTATGTAGAAACTAGAAACCATGTGAAACCATGGTTTAGTAGGGGATTTGGGACCATACAATGGGGGTAGTTATGGGTTAATGCTAAGGGGATGGGATGACAACGGTTTTTTTTCGGGTTCTCCAGGAGATGTTGCGCCTCGAAGCGCCATGCTTTGTGATCCTGGAGCCCTTGAGCGTCTACGAGGTTGAGGCAACCGGACATGGCCAGAAGGATGGGTGATGGGTGAAATCGGCATCTCTATAATTTGGATTCATGATCTCCGAGCTCACGATATTTATATAATTATATATAATTATATATATATAATAATAGTAATAATAATGATAATAGTAATAATAATAATTATATATATATATATGTAAGAGTGGCCACCAGGACTAATACATTGTTGATACTGTTGGCTCAATGTCAAACCGCATTATCCACAGTTCGTAAGGGTAACCCAATTTCAAAGGTAGGATCAGCTCCCCAAATCCTGCGGAAACATGTCAACTACCCCTTGGTAATCAACCATGGTTTGCTGGAAAATCCTACGTTGACAGTTGATGATACACAATTTTCCTATCAAAAAATGCGTTTAAATAGGGAAGTTCCTAGCTCGCCATGTTTGAGCAGAGGGTAGGCCTTTATTTTTGCATAGATTGCCCGGATTGCAGGGGCAAACTATGTTTGCCAAGACCTGGTTCATCACACCATGTGGCACGATGTTGTCATGTGTCGGGGTCCCAATTTTTTTCACATGTCCCGTGCCCATATGATTCTATAATTATTATACAATTTCTTTTTCAAATATTTTGAATCCAAATATTCTGAATGAATCCTTTTTGTTTCATGATTTTTGTTGTTCAAAATCCCAGGTCTTCCCCTGGTCCGACCCGCGGCACTCAGCGGTGGAGTGGCCCATTGGCTGCGCTTGGGCCTTCCTGGGTGCACTGCAGCAGCCCGAGCTGTCGGAGGCCTGGCCGTGGATGATTTTGGATGGAACCTGGACTCAGATGCCATAGCCTCTGGTAAACGTTTACATAGCGAACATCACCATTTTTGATGGGTAAATCAACTAAATTATCATCTATTCTCAATTATTAATATTATTAATGATTTCTATGGCCCTTTCGATAGCTATTAAAAGACATAACCAGAGGGTAGGTGTTTGGCCCAGGTCCCAGGCATCACCAGTGGCAGGACGCCCTGATGGCCTTCATGTCCCAGCACGGTGATGCCAGCGTGGTGCGTCTGGCAGCGAAGGAGGCGAGGCGTCAGGAAGAAGAAAGGTGCAGAGAGGAGGCCAGGCGCCTGCGAGAGGAACAGGACCAGGGCTTGGGTCCACTGGGTGGATAGTTGAATGAGTCACTAATGAATAGATACTAATAAGTATCTAATCCAAATAAGTATCTAATCAGCTACCCAAATAAGTATCTAGTTGAATGATTAGAGTGATTAGATACTTCTTTGGCTGATTACTGGAATCCTTTGCCATAAGGGGAATCCAATTCCCAGCCAATATTCAATATTATTCAATAAGTTTCCACAAATAGTGAAAACTGGTCTTAGCTGTGCAGGTTATATATGATTATGTAGCCATGCTTGTATGTGCCATTTCCATCCATTTCCGGCAGGACCAAGAGTACCAGGAATCCCTCCAGAAGGACCAGCAGCGCAGCAGTTTGAGCGCCGCTCGCCGCAGATCTGCGCAGGAATTGCCCAAGGAAGCGACTGCTCCACGGAAGGCGACGGCGGGGACGGCGAATGGTGGAGATCCATGGGTTATTGGGGTGATTTACGCAGCAAATGGATGCCAACATGCTCTAGGATGCTAGACATTCTCAACGAATATGCAGATACAATCTGATAAAAATTAAAGGACCGGATAACCCCACATGTTACCAACTTCTTTAGACTTAGACTGAGCAGAGAAAGCGAGAAGGGAAGAGGAAGTATGAGAGTGATGGAGGGACGATGGTGGTATGTATGTAGGTATGTATGTAGGTAGGTGAGTTTGTGTGTGTGTGTGGGGAACAAACTGTTGGTGTGCCTGACATATTGAACACCATATTATGTTTAACACACATTCAAAACAACCTCAGGCCAGCACCTCGCAACCCAAGACCTTGGCTCCTAAGGCGCTTGCGTTATGCATTCTGGCGCTTGTGTTGTGTTTCTCTGCTGTTGACCGAACCAGGCTTTGGCTCCTTATCAAAACGATGGTGTGCCTCAGGCCAGCACCTCGCAACCCAAGACCTTGGCTCCTAAGGCGCTTGCGTTATGCATTCTGGCGCTTGTGTTGTGTTTCTCTGCTGTTGACCGAACCAGGCTTTGGCTCCTTATCAAAACGATGGTGTGCTCACCATACTTTCGCTGACCAAAGTAATGTTCTGCACTCTTTCGAGCGCAGCCGCACATTTTGTGAATTCTTTCTGCATGCCCTTTGGCTGGTAAACATCGCTGGCACATGATGGTTTTGAAACCTCCAAGCGCAACAAGCGCAATCAGCAAGTAGCTTCGAGTGCTGGAAGTACTCTGAGAAGCGCAACCCTCACACAATCTGAGATCAACGCAAGAGTTGCACACCACTCGCACAACCTCAGCTTTTTGGTGCTGTGTCTGCACAGATCGCAAGGAACAGAGATAGCTGCTGGCTAATACAGAAATTAAGTACCTCAAATCGAACGAGCCGAGCCCCGGACCGAATGAGTCAAACAGCTACAACGGAAACAGCCACCGGAGGGACACCGGAGGGACGCCAGGGCGTACATCCGACCCCTTGGCAGTGCACATTGTCCCACGCCTGCCACGCAAAAGCGGCGGAGACCAAGGGACACCGGAGGGACACCGGAGGGACGCCAGGGCGTACATCCGACCCCTTGGCAGTGCACATTGTCCCACGCCTGCCACGCAAAAGCGGCGGAGACCAAGGGACACCGGAGGGACACCGGGGGGACGCCAGGGCGTACATCCGACCCCTTGGCAGTGCACATTGTCCCACGCCTGCCACGCAAAAGCGGCGGAGACCAAGGGACACCGGAGGGACGCCAGGGCGTACATCCGACCCCTTGGCAGTGCACATTGTCCCCCGCCTGCCACGCAAAAGCGGCGGAGACCAAGGGACACCGGAGGGACACCGGAGGGACGCCAGGGCGTACATCCGACCCCTTGGCAGTGCACATTGTCCCACGCCTGCCACGCAAAAGAGGCGGAGACCACCGGAGGGACGCCAGGGCGTACATCCGACCCCTTGGCAGTGCACATTGTCCCACGCCTGCCACGCAAAGCGGCGGAGACCAAGGGACACCGGAGGGACGCCAGGGCGTACATCCGACCCCTTGGCAGTGCACATTGTCCCACGCCTGCCACGCAAAGCGGCGGAGACCAAGGGACACCGGAGGGACGCCAGGGCGTACATCCGACCCCTTGGCAGTGCACTTGTCCCACGCCTGCCACGCAAAAGCGGCGGAGACCAAGGGACACCGGAGGGACGCCAGGGCGTACATCCGACCCCTTGGCAGTGCACATTGTCCCACGCCTGCCACGCAAAAGCGGCGGAGACCAAGCGGAGGGCGTACATCCGACCCCTTGGCAGTGAGTGAGTGAGTGAGTGAGTGAGTGAGTGAGTGTGAGATGAGATGAGATGAGATGAGATGAGATGAGGTGAGTGAGGAGGTGAGTGAGTGAGTGAGTGAGTGAGTGAGTGAGTGAGTGAGTGAGTGAGTGAGTGAGTGAGTGAGTGAGTGAGTGAGTGAGTGAGTGAGTGAGTGAGTGAGTGATGTGAGTGAGTGAGTGAGTGAGTGAGTGAGTGAGTGAGTGAGTGATGAGTGATGAGTGAGTGAGTGAGTGAGGCGGGAGGCGAGGCGGCGGGAGGAGGAGGAAGAGGAGCGGATACAGAACTAAAAACAAAAACCCCACACGTCAATGTGGGGAACAACTGATTCATGTAGCGACGCCGCAAACACAGAGAGAAGTGTAAAGTCAACCAGTACCGCGGTTCAAATATAGATAAGAAACGGGCCATCGATTTGGCCAACTTAATCCCTCCGCAATGGGAAGTCCCAATGTGCGGCCGAAAGATGTGCAACTGATTGGTTAATCCCTTCCCCCCAATATTAGACAATATTGAATAACCCCCGCCAGAAACCAGAAACCCTGTTTAGGGGATTTACACACAATTGGGACCATACCATGGGGATGTTTCATATTGGGGGAAGGGATCATTCAAGTGCCACGTTTGATCGCTCGACTCGGCAGGACGGCTGCCACTTGGTGCTTCGCTTCCCCTGTGGACGTCGTGCTGCCTCTTGGTCCAGGATAGTCCAGGGATGCCAGGACCAGTGTTCTTCAGTACCATTCGCCGCTACCCGACAAGTTCTTAATAGTGTTGCGATGTGTTACGTAGACATGATGCCATATAATGCGATAATATACATATAATATTATGTATATATATATATATGCCTACTGTACCTAGTGCACCAGGATTTTGAACGTTTCGGCAGTTTGAAATTAGCGTCAGAAAGTGCTTGGTGCCAGATAATTGAGACCCAGGAGAGAGGATTCACCGCTGAGCAGACGCTTTCAGAGGTGGAATGCGTTCTGCACGGTGTTTCCAAATATGGCGACCTTCAAAAGAATCATGTTCTTTCCTAATGCATCGCATATGTCAAAGATAGCAATCTTCCGGGCCCATTGGCAGGTGTACGACTGGGCGGACTGCGCAGGGGAGCTGGCTGCTTTGTCTGGTGGCACTGCCTTTGAAGTACCGGAGCAGCTCAGCAGAAGTGGTTCAAGGACCAGTTGTGGGGTTGGTGCCCAACAACCCCAGCCCATTTCTACCAACTAGCTTTGAAATCCTCTTGAAGTTTTGGATGTTTACCAACCCCTGACCCTTGATGAATGGCATGGCCTTCTGCTCTCACTTGTTGGTGCTTTGCACAATTGCGATAATGACTGCGATCGCGCGGACCATGCGCTGCCATACCGCCACCTTTTCGATTTCATCCACCAATTTGGAGCAATCAGGATGCGGAATGAACGCCACACCGCTGCTCAGGAAATTCCTGTTGGCCACGACCTACCCCAAGGCCGTGCTGAAAGATCAGAAGAAGACCTTGCGACAACTGAAACTTTTGCCCTCGGCGGTGCTCACGGTGTGTCCGGAATAGCCACCGAGACTTACAGAAATGGTTGGCTACCTTGGAGCCCTGGGTATGGCATCCCAATGCTCCAAATTGGTTCTGAACATTGTGCCAGCCCCCCAGTTCCAATGTATAGAACTTAAATGGGTTTCATTGGCTCTGGTGGAGTAAACACCCTGTTTTGTGAACAGCTTTTTGGACAACCACACTTCGACACTTCGCAGCTACAGCGCCCAAAGAGGTGGCCAGTCTGGTGAAAAAGTCGCGCCAAGGAAGAGTACCTGACCCTCAAGGTAGCCATAGAGAAGGGTGAACACAATAAGCCACCAAAAAAGTTGGACATCCAAAGGTGATCGATTTTTCATGGGTTTATATAATATGATATTAGTATAACTGATGGTCCGGTCCAGGAGGTTTCACAGGGTTGCAGAAGCTATCAGAACCTGCATGAACTTCGCAGATTGCACTAGCGTTACCAACAAAAGAAACGCCGGCTGAGAATCGGCCGGCCGTGGGAATCATCATTACATCCCATGCAGGATGTGGATAATTATAGGGGGCCCGGTGGGCAACCAACATCAAGAAGATTCTGTGGATTGTCCATTCAAAGCAACATATGGGCTGTTCATTCAACAAAAACTGGGAACAAACGGAACAAAAACACGTAAATCAACAGAAAAAAGTACCCTCTGGTAAACAAACAGTTTGCTATTGAACATGGCCACAGAAATAGTGGATGTTCCCATTAAAAAAGGTGATTTTCCATAGTTTTTGGATGTTTTTGGTATGTTTACCAGAGGGTAACTGGAGAGTTCTGCTGCGTTGATCTTTCTCATTTTCTCCAAGGTTTGAAGCATCCTTTGGCTGCCTGGTGGAAGCTGAGAACCGTAGCCAGTGTGCCAAGACCGGACAAGGTTTGCCCGGAGCCTCAGGATCGGTGACCCACAGCTTGCTATAGAAAACAATGGTAAAAGAAAACTAAACCACCATGCCTGGCTATAAAATCCCCTGCAAAACCACCCCCTATTTAGATCTATTTAGAGCACGGGTTAAACCATCTACTTTCATGGCTAATTTTCCATAGCAACCTGTAAGAATTTGTCATATTCAGATGGTCCCCACCTTCAAAACAGTAATGTGCTGCAGGGACACAGCCACAAAGATATCCTCGGTCAATCAAACACAATACGATGCACTAATCGGATATTTATCATTTTGAATGGGAAAACATCATCCTTTTTCCATCATCCAAGATGGAAACAACAATAGTTGACCTAATAGTTGACATGGTTTTTGGCCAGCGGATCACTTGGGCACGGTGAGTGGCTGGGTCTTTCAAGGGGCCATTCCTGGCCATTCTGAGGCCGTACCTGGGCCGAAGCGGAAGCCGCGGCGGGATGATCCTGGGAGTTTACGGGTCATGAAACAGAAAAAGTACCCTTTGGACAGTACCCGGCCTGGTTATGTCAAACATAGCTATTGAACATGGCCATAGAAATAGTGGATTTACCCATTGAAAATGGTGATGTTCCAGTTCGTTTTTTGTATGTTTACCAGAGGGTAGATGGACATTCACTCTTTACAAAGCACGGCTTTGATAAATATTGGTGCTGGTCACTGCTAATTTTTGTCGCTCTTCTGCATCGTGGGGAGGTGGGCTTTTTATGGCTGTGGCTGTTGCTGGAAAGTCCCCACCATCCAAGAGCTGATTTCGGCTAAATCATAACTCCAGGTATCTCCAGGTGGCCAGGTGGTATTGGCTATGTCGGTTTTAACAGAATGAAATCATAAACCAGGCCTCTTGGTTTCCTAATGTTTCCTGGTCGATTCAACCCCTTCCGTGCCAAGGTCCACCTACCAGGACTGGTGGGATGGTAGTGCTGTTTGTGCCTCAGTGCGCTGTTGCTGATGAATATGAAGAGAGAGAGAGAGAAAACATAAATAGTATGACAATATATGACAATATAAATACAATATATGACAATATATGATAATATATGATCACATATAATAAGAATATATGGCAGTATATGATAATCAGGAATATTAACCACGTACGAGAATTAAAGGAAGAGGAATGACACGTAACAAAGGTGAAAACGATGACGATTACGAGTATTGTTTGTTTTTTACTTATTATGCTACTGCTACTGCTGCTCTACTTGGGGGAATATTGGGAGAAGGAGGAGCATAATGATGAGGACAATGCACAATGAATAAAAATAACATATAATAACCCCAAGTTTGATAGAATTTATTTCTTCATGATGCTTGCGCAATAATCTCAATCTTCGAGAGACACCAAAGCTTTGGTTCCGACCCCCGCCCCTGGCACCCGTGGTCGTCATGGGTGTGGCCAGATGTCTGGGCATCGTTTGCGCAGTGGCCATGGGAATCGGCGCCTTCACGGCGACGCAGCTGGTCATGGCCAAAGATGCAAACATTCAGACGTACCAGCGGCTTGGCACTGGGACATGGGAAACAGGTGCCCAGATACCCCTCCATACTGAGCCTAGACACCTAAAAATGGAGAAAATGGTAGATTCTACGCAGATTGGGTATTCCACAAACATACCATTCCTTAACATTCCCTGGGGAGGTCATTATCTTTTCTTGGCCAAGCCCTTAAGCTCCAGGAGATTTACAGATCATATGGGAACCGGGATGATTTTAGGGACAGTTTGCCCTGAGTTTCTCTTGGCAGGAAGTATTGTCTCAAGGGCAACGTTACAAAAGTCGAGGAGGCGGGTCTTCATGCCTATGAGCCCATGTTGGGTGCTTCATTCACTTGCATTCTCACACAGCAACTTGGTTAAGCCAGAGCATGCTTGAGAAAACATCGGGAAACCAGCGGCCCAACCACCAACATTGCCCACCATTGCCACTATCCCAGCATTGGTCTGCTGGTCTAACGGAAAACGTGCAGGAAATCTGCAACATGTGTTTGGCCTGTCAAGCTCAGATAAATCCATGGTTTCCGACCAAGATTTGCCAGAAAAAATCAATGGCATTTTTCCATTCAATGACCCCCAAATATCCCAAATCTTAACATCAGCATCTCCCAACGGAACGTCATGGCTTCTCCCAAGGTTCATCTTGGCCCTGGTGGAGGATCCCGCTGGGATGCTGGCCTGGGGCCTCATTGCCACGCTGCTCTTCCCGCTGACCTTGCTGATGTACGTGGAGGCCGGCAGATATGGCGCCAAGGGCCTGGTGAAGTGGCCCGTGCTGGTGCCTGGAATGACGATGATGGGATGGGGGGGAACCTCTAACGTTTACAGTTTGCGATGGAAAATCACCATTTATAATAGGTATATAGACCAACTATCAATAGCTATATTAAATTACCAGAGGGTAACCAATATAGCTAGACTCCCAGTAAAAATGCTTGTCCCATTACTATATTTCAATCAACCTTCACCGTAAATGATAAACCTCACAACAAACTAAAGCATTAATTGTTGCTAATAGGCTTCGTCATTCCTCAAAGTGAAGAACCTCTGGGTTTGTGATACACTGTCATTTGCTGAGTGCTTGGCCAATTACTTAAGAATCATTATAAATCCATACTGATTCCCTCCTGCAAAAATTAAATGCACTTAATGTATATGCACGTATGTAAATTACTTACATGTATATAATCTATATAATGTATACATACACACATATTATACATATTATTTACCACATGCCCGTCACACACACAGAAGTAGATAAATGAATACATAAGTAAATAAATTAATATTTTTTTTGGGCTGCTGAGACTTTCTCGTGTCATGCAAAAGCAGGGGACAGAATTATTATTGTACATACATATGTATGTGTATATATATATATGTATGTATAAGTACATACATATATATATATATACATGTATATATATATACAACGTTCTGAAGATGTCTAAGGTGCTCTTCCTGGGTCAGTTGCTTGGGATCAGCACCAGTTTCCCCGTGCTGTGGCTCCCTGCAGTTCTGTGGGGTCAGGGCAGCGGGGTCACCTCCACTGGAAGGATCTGGATGGCGCTGCTGCTGCTAGTGCCCATTACGCTGGTGGAGTGCCTTAGGATCCAACGATATCAACGGATCCAACGCTTGGAGGTGGTAGAGCTATATAAACATAAACCGTTGAATTCCAATATCACCATATCACCATTTTATACCATCCATATGATTTTATATCATTAAAAGCTTGGTTTATACTCCATCCATAAACACGTTGATAAACTATGGAAAACCCAATATCAACATTTACTGTAAATTGGATGGTATAAACCATCCCCAGTCATGGTAGTTGTTTATGGCATTGGCTTATATTGGGTTGCCCATATTACAGCCAATGGGTGGATTTAAGAAACCAAACCCATTTTGTTAGAAGAAACCGTTGGTACTTGGTACACACATTGCTTGATCTTCTTAAAATCTGACATACTTGGGAAACAAGGAAACAATGATGGCATATGATGGAATAAACATGGCAAACACCAGGGTGATGATGATGATGATGACGACGACGACGACGACGACGATGATGATGATGACGACGATAGAGCGTTCCTTCTTGGATATGGAACTTTGAACCCATCAAATGGTGACATTGGGTAACTGGGGAATGTTTTATCCGACCTTTGAGGTGGCAGATGGGTACAACGGGGATCGTTCAGTAGACTAACGTGGCTGGATCATCCCCATGTTTAACATCATAGGACATAGGAAGACTGATCCAGGGTAAGATGTGGTATGATTGGTTATATAGAGTATTACAAGACTTGCATCTGGACCACCAATGCTTTTGAAATTCGTTTTTGGTACCTGGAACAATGATGCGAACACCTGTTGTTTTTTTCAAATAATTACTGCCTGAGGCATGGATGTCAATTGGTAGTAAGATATTGAAACGCATTGCACAGCCACTTTACCAGCTTCAAACCTATCAACATGGGTCGTGTGATTGAGAACCGAAAAGGCGACCCTGGCGTCGTTGCTTGGCCACTGCCGCTATCCCTTCCCCGAGGGCCCAAGGGTTTCCAGCTTTCCCAGGGGTTCATATTTATGTCAATTATGGGTGGTCCTTAGCATCAGTTGGTAATGATTTTATTTGTTGTCTCCTAATGATCGGGTGACACTGCTGTTCATGACTATCATTCAATATCCACAATGTTCATGGATGATAGAGTAGTTTAAATCCCAAATGCTTCATGTATGGAACCTTATGTTTCAACATTTAAATCCCAACATGACCCAAATTAATGGGTATGCCATAGGAATGCCCCAGTCATTGCTGGGAAAATCTGCATGACAAGCCGTTAAACCCGGGGTAATTTTACAATTGTTTTATGGAACATGTCCATCAACCAATATCATGAACCATTCTTGGGTATATCCCATGATTGGGTGATATATTATCCATATCCCATTATTATATCCCATTATTGGGTGATATATGATCCATCAACCATATATATATATATTATTATTATTGTTATTATTATTATTATTATTATTATATATATCCCATTGTTGGGTCCCAATATATCACATTATGCAATATCCCCAATATTTGGTGGTTAAATTGTGGCATCTCCCGGAGATCGGCTTGCCATGACTTGAGGCTCTACATCTTCTTCGGCAGCACAGCCACCAGGGCCTGGACCATCTGCGCGGGGCTGCTGACTGGGCCCGGCTTGCCCTTCTTGGGGATCTTGCTGTGGCCCTTCCCTGCACCAGGTGGGGGTTACTGTAGTGAATTCACCGAAATTCATGAACCATTTGGGGATGGTTTATACTGTTTATACCACCCATAGTGATTTTGGGGATGGTTTATTATTGGATTTGCCACATTATTTTTTAAAAGTTACTTTTTTTGTGCTAGCAATTGTGCAGATATCAAATCATAGTCATTTCAAATTGTCTAGATTTCTCTCTGTAAGTCATGCAATGTTAAAAACTATCATTCCTTCTCTCAGACCCCGTGGTTACCTCTTCACATGCAACCCGGCCTTGCAGCTTGGCCCGCAGGGTCCGAGAAATTCAGTGGCGCAGAGCAGTCCATCAGGCTGCTGAAGGGCGCCTACCGGGCCTGTATGCTGCCAGCAGCTGCAGGGTATTACTTCCTGATTTACCACGCCTACATGAACATCTTGGATTTGCCGAGTCGGTGCTATTAGTATTTTCCCTGAAGCTCAATACATCTTAATGCGCTATTTGGGGAATCTACTGGTAATATTTTCAGAGATTTGTGCATGTTTTTCTGGCATTCAAATCCAAGGAATTATGCCACACCCAAGGAGCTCCTGGAAGCACTCTGGGGGCCCAAGGCAGATGGGTCGGTGATGTTCATGACAGTGGACTCTTGGTACCTGCACCATCAACTTATCAGCCCCTCTTGAAATATGTAGATATACTATGATATGCTGATATACTGATAGACAGTGTGTAACAGCCTACCTTTGGAACGCAATCCTACAGATGACCATCCACGTTCTTGTCGTGCTGTGGTATGAATTTACCTGATTGGCCCCCTGAAAGTACGCAAAAAGTGGATAAACGTGCCACTGTCATTGGATTTCTAGGGGGTGCGTTGGACCATTCAACAACCACCGGCTCGCCTTAGATGAGGATTCTTGCGTGCTCACCTTAGCCCTGTTTCTGTACCTCATCATGACTTGCCCCTGTAGTGACGTGGCGCTGACCTGTTTACTGACGCCCTTTTTGGGCCCTGCTGCGGGCATTTGTGCAGCACTGGGGCAGCGCGAAGCCGAGAGATTGAAGGAGTTCAACGGTGAAGGGTGGCAATCCTTGTTGTGATAGTGGCTGGATGTGGTTGGTGTATGCTGGTTTTTGGAAGAGACCAGGGGGCTACAGTACCCTTTAAAGATTGCTGGTTGATGTTGATGGATGGTTAATGAGTCGGATTGTAAGATTCGGAAACTGGATGCTGACATATGCTGACACTGGTCCAGACTTGTTGGGCTTTAACGGCTCCAAAAGAGGGTGCCCAAAGGACGACCAAAGCGCCAACAGATTGATTCGTAGAAATTCGGATGACTTAGATGACGCGCATGGCGGAAAAGGAGACATTTGATCATGTGAGTGCCATTCCGTCGGTGTATGATGCTGGGATGGACTGCACTCTTCACCGTTTTCTAAGCTTTTTCCACAGAAACATGTTCCAACTTCCAACTTTGATTTTTATCTTGGAAGGTTGTGGCATGCCAACTTACACAAAAATGGATTTCTAACTTCACCTGTTTGAAAACATGGCCTGTGATCCCAGGTGGACGGCTGGACCGTGCCCTTCTCAATCTATGTGAACGATGGCCGGGGCCGTAGCCTGGGTGATCCCGGGTGAAATGTATTGGATCCGCTTTCCATCACTTTCCGTTGGGGCCCAAATTGATGGAATGAAAGATTTTGCCGGAAATCAACAAAACCAGTCCTCATAATCAGTGAATTAATCAGTTAATTTTCATCAGTTTTCATGATTGTTGATGATTATGAAGATTTTTTTTTCTGGATGTCCACTTCATTTATATGCTACATAACTCTATCATAACTCTAAAACCATTGAATTGCCATTGTCGATTGCCACTTCCCTTACAGTTCACCGTGGCTTTCACTCACTCTTCAGGCGGCTGGAGCCTGGCTCCCGGGGTGAAGGCCGAATAGTGATAGGTGATTTGTACCAGTGGGTAATTCATGATAATTATCATAGTCATTGATGGTTATTCAATGTTATTCATGAGATATTCTACTTGAATAAGAATAATGATTAATACTGAGTAATACGCTTAGTTAATATTGACAGTGATCAATGATGTTAGGTATAGTGATGAATATTATAATGGAAAGACATGTAATGCCATCATGCCAGGTCCTGCGAAGAAAATCTAACTTTTTTTGTTTTCAACAAAATGGGTTTGGCTATTCCCCCCGCGGATTGTCGATTGATATTGGTTGTCCTCCAAGATCGGCATAGATTGACTACATGAAATTGTTGGCGGGTGATCCTTCATGATTTGGGTGCCTAAGCTGTTGGTTGATATCCCTACCAGATTGTGGGTGCATATGTAAGCTCCAGCCTTCCAAATTGAGTGGACATGCTCCAATTTTTTCCATGTAAAACCATGTAATGCCAACACCGGATTAATACCCCCCCCCCAGAAGGTAGGGGGGGTACCTTCTGACTGGTTTTCTTGACCACCCCTTAATAATAAGCATGGGAGCATGAGAGCAGTTATTGGCTTTTGGAAGCATGGGAGCAATAATTAGATAATTCATGTCAAGTCAGGATTAATCAACCCCCTGGGATAGTTTTTATAAAGGATTTTGAATAAAAAAAATGGCTTCCAGCAAAGGGGGTTGATTAATCATGTCCTAGCCAAACGGTTTATTAATCCTGGGGACCACCTGTTTTTAAATTGCAAGAAAAAATTGGGGAGGAGGAGGTTGATTAATAACGGGATGTTGCTTAATCCTGACTTGACATTAAACTGGATTTTGGAGTTGGAACCGCCATTGATTGTTTTTCTGATCCCTTGGACCAGGGCAGTAGCAATCAGTGCAAAGATGTGCTGTGCCCTAGCTTGACCCAAGAGCCGGGGCGCCCGGGGGTCTATGTAAGCCTCTAAGCGTTCCATTGGCGCAATGGATCAATGGATCAATTTCCCCAGCAAGCAAGGGCAGCTAGGGAGAGAATGGATGAGACTGAGATATACATCCAATATCACCCAATGAAGTTTTTCACAACTGTGTGTTAGCTTATTTGTGTTTTTTTTGTCGGTCTTACATTGTTTGGGGACAATGAAAATCATGAAGTAAATCCACGTGCAAAAACCACTGAGATTTAGGACTTAGAGAGAAACGCCTGAACACCCTCCTTGGGTTGTGCGACGCATTTCTTGAAATTTTTACACCTTGGGGTTTCAGTAGCAGATCAGCCTTGTCGAAATTATTGTGACCGTTGGTGTGTCCCGCAAATTTGAAGTGGAGCCGAGTCACAACATCTGTTGAGAGGTCTTTGGATGCTATTCTAATAGCGGTTCCCACTTGCTTCCATGCAACCAACTTTTGTCCCCAGATAGTTTGTCCATGCTTAAACTTTGGGGTTCTTTCCTCTAGGTTCCGCCGTTGCGTGTGTTTTGTCTGTCACGCCAGCGATTGGGAAACAGGGTGCCGCTGCAAGTGGATGCACGCAACACTGTCCTAAGGTCCTAGTGCTGTCCCTGCAGTCATGCCAGTTACATTTTGCCGTCTATGCATTGGTATGATTTGATTTTTGCTGGGCCGCCCCAGCAAAAAGTCATCTTGGAGAGTGCTTCAATGCTTCAGTGACCCAATGATCTATTGAATCTATTGTTTTTGCTCGAAGGACCAGTCATTGACTCATTGACCATAGACATGTAGTTTGTGCGATTCTGCGGATCGCTTGAGTCAAGTGGCCATGGAAGACATTCTGAAGAGATCAGCTGGCCACCGGTTCGAAGTAAGTGATCCAAGACTCCAAAAACACCTCTGCCTGGTCTAGGTATCTCACAAATCTTAAATACAGAAATATGTGCCTGTGTATATGTGTATATATATATGTGTGTGTGATCATAATGATACAACCAAATGTCATTCCATAAGATCATAATATCAGAATCATATCCATATAGATATAGGCTATGTCATTGACTCATCGCCTGGTTCTGTCCCGTGTTCTGAGGCTCTGTCCGACCAAGGAGTGGCTGACGCCGGACAAGCACAAGGAGCGGATCATGCTGTCGTAGCCAGCAGAGATCAATCAGATACCATCTTGTTATTTAACATAGCCATGAAAAATCACCATTTTTAATGGGAAAATCCACTATAAATGGCCATTATCAATAGCTATGTTAAATTACCAGAGGGTATCAGAACTTGGGAGTTCGCCATGAAAATTGAGGATTGAGCTGGATTTAGCCATCTCGATTTAGGGACTCAAGCAACAAAGATGAATTTTATGGATTGGAGATGTCAATGATAGCGATATATAGCGATCAACCATGGAGGCATGGAGGTCCATGGGAATTTAACAATCAAACATGTAACATGGTTTTAAGATGTCAAGGCTTGGACTATCACTAATTATCTATATAATCTATATATAGATCAGATTTTGGTAGAATTGTGTCGGATTCTTTTTGGTGGTAGGATGGCACAGAACTACTACTTAATCTACTTACCCTCCAAGAAGTGGGAAGAAGTCGCATCAATTGCATCCTCCGACTGCAAGAATGGACGGTATATAATCAAATATACCCGAGACATGCAAGTTAAGGCCGCTCACCGCTCAAGCTTTTGCACCACGGCCACTTGGATCGTGTCGGGTGCAAGACGCACCTGACCCTGCGTCAGTGGGGCCGATGACTCTGGCCGGTGCTAGACAGAGCTGTCCAAGTCCATGTTGCAAAGGTGGTTTGTATCAAGATTTGTGACAAAGACATCATCTCATGTTGGGCTTTGTGCATTCAACAAGAAGGAAATATCGATCATGCATGTATTTGACAATCTTTACGCTCTGCGTTGGAGAATCACGTGCGAACAGTCACTGCCAGAGTGCCGCCACATTTGCGCGGGCAGCCTCGCTGAAAACGGTGTGGTGTCCAAAAAAAAGCTGCGAAGTCATGCAATTGGTGAGAAGCATGCGTCACCCTGCACAGCTTGGAATCATGATGCTTGTTGATGTGAGTTGTATCATGTCATTTCAACAATAATTGAATTGAAAAGATCGACACATGCCATCCAATGAAAGACCTTGGTTTAAGTCGCCTTTTTTTCCCATCGGCACATGTTTTTCGAAACGTTGCTGCGACAAATGCAAATACGTGTTCCATTTTTGTTAGCATTTTGGTGGGAATATTGACATGGCTTGCTCGCACGGTGAATTGGGCCCAGAGGCTGGGGAAGATCGAAGATATGAGGAGCCACCAGCATCTTCCCAAAAGCACAGCCACACTTCAGCTCTCAAAGATGATTTTATTATCCTTTGTTTGCACCCATCATGCCTCGAAAGGCTGTCGGCTGTCGTGATTGTCTTCGAAGCAAAATCAGATGAGGATCGATGGGCTCCGCTAGTCCCATCCATCGTGTTCCTTTCGAACCCGACCTTGTCCCGTCCTTGGCCACTGCGGCGTTCGGTCTCATGGGGCTACGTCAGCCACCGTGACGACCAAACAGGTGGATTTGTTGTGGAACGAAGCCTGGAAGTGAGCCTATACTTCTCCTTGGAAGTGCAACTGGTAACCCCGAGGTAAGGACTCAAAAAGCTGAAAACCATCTTCTTGACCACTTGTAAGTAGCCAATAGTGTTCCATATGAAATTGCGGAGGGCTGTTGTGCAACCCATGAAAACGAGCATGGCATCTCATCTCCCAAAATTGAAGGATCTTCAAATTGGAGCAAATTGGTTGCCTGCGTCCTACATCTGAGTAGGGAACCCGGTGTTTTTGGGGCCAATGTTGTCATGTCAGGGCCAGCTGACCAACCCCACCCTGCACTGTTGCTTCATAGCAGAATGATCCGCTCAATGACTTGATCTCAGGTCATTGTCATCCCCTCCTCCTCCTCCTCCTCATCAATCACCATCCTCACCATCCTCACCATCCTCACCATCCTCACCATCCTCACCATCCTCACCATCCTCACCATCCTCACCATCCTCACCATCCTCACCATCACCATCATCATCATCATCATCATCATCGTCATCATCATCATCGTCATCATCGTCATCATCATCATCATCATCATCATCATCCATCATCATCATCCACTATCACTATCACTATCACTATCACTATCACTATCACTATCACTATCACTATCACTATCACTATCACTATCACATCACTATCACTATCACTATCACTATC